TGTAATAAGTTACAGAGCAGTAAATAAACTTAGGCTCAGTATCATTCGTTAAAGGTCACATGCAACCAAAAAATCAAACATAATTAAAACACAATTATCACTTATTCGTGACATATAATATACATTGCTGGTTATGAAAAAACATATAAACAAAATTATAAGCGTACAATCGCAAATCAAAAGTGCAATATTGTGTACTTGGGTTTACTTCCCAAGAAACGAAGCAGCCGGGATACCGAACCCAGTCAGAGCGGGTGGGTGTGCACTCAAGTGTAACGGCTGGTTCATTTGCGTATGCCCTCACGGCATATTGTGTGTGTATATGTAGAAATGTTGGGTTTTGTAAATACATGCTCATTTTTTGTGTGTAACATTTTGCAATCAACAGACATCCTAACATGTCAAGTGTTCAACTATCACACCTGTCTGTCTGTGTAATTACATAATGTGACAGAGACCGAACTCGGGCCATAAATCAATGCATTTTGTTTATGGTGTATAGCCTGATTGGTGTTAAGTTCAAATTGCATGTGGTCAGTGTTAGCAGCTGTGTATTAAATATTGTCATTAGCAGACAGGCAGGCAGACATACAGGTGTCAATAAAACAAGACATTGAGTTTTGTCTGTGACAACGACATATCTATATCACAGTTAGAAATTCTGTCAACGCTAAATAATGACATTGCTTTTAAGTATCGAACTGAGAAAGTGACTCGGTAAGAAGAACGTGTGGTGAAATTATATAAACAGTTAATTTACTGTCATAACATATAAAATGCTCGCGCCTGTGAGATATCAACAAAACATTAGAAAAATAGCTCACACCAAAGCCTTCACCGAGTATTCACCGGACAACCCGCTTCCAAGCTGCGCGAACCTATTTCACTGCGCACGTGCTATGAGCGCAGCCCAGCTTTTGAAACCCGTTTTCCCCAGAAAAGTCGGGGGAAAATTAGTGAAACGTTTGAACTCCGATTTCGCGCGTTTTTTTTCATGGCGTTTTCTTTCAACCTTATAAGTTGAATTTGCATTTTTGACGATTTGTTTCGGTAAGTCCATACCGAAAGGTATCAGAATCTGCAAAGTTGTGTTTTACGTTGCATGTGACCTTTAACGTTTGAGCAACCTATGACCGTCCAATCAAAGGTGAGACGGCCGAACGGATTTAACCAATCAGACAACGACTACTTGTTAGGGTTCGGTGGGACTTACAAAACGGTTTTTGGATTTTCTCTTCCCTGGTCGCTGACACTGATCTATCAATAAACGAAAATCCGATTAAAACACAGATATTTGACCTGCAGTATATACGCTTAGGGGTTTCTAATGACATGGTTACTATTTGCTTATATACTCATTGCCAATAATGGTTGTCACCCCCATCAATGTTTTTAATTGGAGAGGGGGTGTGGGGTGGGGTGTGAGGTGTGTGGGGGTTGGGGTGGGGAGGGGGTGACAACCATTATTGGCATGAGTATATTTTCGCAAGATGACATCCTTGACTATTGACAAAAACGCTATTTTCAGCGACTGTTTACTCATTGCGTGTATCACTCGGAAGCGATCGTGCGGAAAATAGCATTCGGAATCGTTCGAGCTTTTTAGGTAAAGGTTCAAACGGTATGTGCGAATGTTAACTTTAGCGATTTTGGTAAGCTGTGTTCGAATTGGTCAGTCCAAAGGGTTAGCTGACGCAACCTTGGTTTTGTTAGACTCAGTATAGCAGTGTAACGAATAATACTGAGCCTAAGTTTACTCAGACTGGTTACAGAGCAACTGATTGGTTCGTGGCAATTATGTACAACCAGTAAAACAGTGTTTGAGAAATGGATATTGTCGGCATGACACTGGTCTCATCATTAAGCTGCTAATATGATGAACATTTTTATCAGGCCATAATCTTGCATTATTTACAAGTGTAATACTATTATAATTTCACAAGTCGGAGAAACTGACATACATGTATTTACAAAATGGACCAATGAAAATTCACTAGCCAGTGGGGCCAGTGACTGGAGAATTACTGGCCCGACTGGATGTTTACTAGCCACAAGCTAGCGGGCCAGTGGATATTTCGCACCCTGGCTGGAATAATGACCACCATAAAGGGAGAGTTGACACTTGTCAAAAAGGCAGAACGATTCGGCTGACACATAAGAAATTAACTTTGTTTAACTATGTCGGAGGTTGCAGTCACAATAGGTTTAATACTGATGTGTGCCAGCTGTTTGTTTTGCAAGCACATTTTTTTCAAAACAGCGCCTCCTTGATCTCACGTGTGGTCACCCTGCTTGAAATTGATGGAATAAAGCAAGGACTGGTCTGCTTGAAGCCATCATTACTGTACTGAGTCAATATCTATACTATGCATGAGATCACATCACTGAAAACGCAGGACTATTACATATCACACATACACACACACGCACGCACGCACGCACGCACGCACGCACGCACACACACATCATCATCATCATCAAATCATCATCGCATAATGATACATAAGAAAATATATATTTTACATTGAAACGCTAGTTAAGTTGACTCTTAAGTATGTTATATGCAGTGGAATATTTGTTCTTGCTCCTTTCGCTCTTGGTGGTATGCCTGAGATTCGCTTGCATGTCAGGCTGTTTTCAGAAACAATGAACCAGTAAAATCAGAGAAAGTTACCTCCCCTTCACAAGAGATTTTCAATTGTTACGTAGTGCCTTGCCCTGAGACATGACTGACTGACTGACTGAGTTTAGTTTTACGCCGCTTTTAGCAATATTCCAGCAATATCACGGCGGGGGACACCAGAAAAGGGCTTCACTCATTGTACCCATGCGGATTCGAACCCGGGTCTTCGGCGTGACGAGCCAATGCTTTAACCACAAGACTACCCAACCGCCTCCCTGAGATTTGAATTTCGAATTCCGGAAGGTACGCATCCGCAAAATGGACAAGAATCCTAAAGATAGCATATGTTACGATGGAGTGACAATTGAAAGATCTGTATTGTCTGGTCCAGACTCGATTATTTACAGACCGCCTGAAATATTGGTGAGTGCGGCGTTAAACAACAGAACAAATCTGAAAGTTTCCCAGAAGTTCAAATGTGTTTTCAAATAATAGGATACAACAATGTGAAGGATCCTGGTTGGAGATGTGGGCGTCAATGTCCTCGAAACAAGCAGGACAATTACAAGAAAGGAAACAAGACGCGTTTGCTTCCGGTTACGTCACAGTCATGATAAACTGGGCGATTTACGAAGAATATACGCTGTTTTCGGAGACGAGCTAGTTCAGCACAAATTGCAACTAGAAGTATATTTTCGTTTATTAGATATAAAAAAACATAAATGATTTCTTACTCATATACTGAACTTCACTTTGAACAAATACTGAGTTAGCTCATAATTATTGATACTATACATATGATAGTGATTGCTGCGAATAATGTGGGTCGAAGTTATTGATATGGGAGGGACACACGATTCACTTCAGCTAGCAGAAATATTCTGTTTTAACATTATGAGTAAAATTACCATTTCGTTGACAGTGATAGTGATAGTAACTGCCAGTTGTCTTGTGGTCTGAGCTGGCCGCTATTAGGACCCCAACAGAAGTAACGGAGATATTTATTCAACGGACTGTTATTTTAGTCAGCTAAGTCCGGATTACAAAGCATTGTTCTCACAGCAAAGTGATTGTTGGGACTGTTATGTTAGTCCGTAATTGAGAGAGTCCGGATTATAAAGCAAGCTTTAATGATAAATTAAGAACAGTTTTGCCGGGACTCAGAGAGTAGTCCGGATTATGGAGAAAAGCGGATAGCCCAGAGTCCGGTTTTGACAGATTCCACTGTAGTTTGATAAAAGGGCTTTTTCAGTTTGAATGCTGTGGCCACTTTTGCGAGAAAACGGAAAGTGATTTAAAAGTATACACCCGTGGTGATTAAGCATAAAAAGAATCAAACCAGATGTCATTATTCCATGGTGAAATAATTGATACGGGATGTTTGCTGTGTTTCAGCGACAGTTCTCTTCCTCGTTTTTCATGTTTTGCTCAAGTCATATTTTTACCTTCTTTTGCTTTACCGTTCAGTCATCCCGCACTGCAAACATAACATGGTTGAGTTGTAGTTGTGTTGACACTTTACGTCGCTTCAGCATTATTTCCGCAATATAGCGACAAGACCAATCGCATACTTGGGAGATTGACTGGTGTTTAACGCCGCACTCAGCAATATTCAGGCTATATGGCGTAGGTCAGTATATAATCTAGTCTGGACCAGATAATCCAGTGATCAACATCGTGAGCATCGATATACGCAATTGGGATACGAGCCTGACCACCCGTTAGTCACCTCCTAGGACAAGCAGGGGTTGCTGAAGATCAATTCTAACCCGGATTTTAACCCATCCACCCACTCCTTACAACACACGGGTCCAATCACATAAGCCAGGAGTTAAATACGTGGATGTCTGAACACAGTCAAATAGGTATCAGTGAGTGAGTTTAGTTTTACGCCGCCTTTAGCAATATTACAGCAATACAACGACAGGGACACCATGAATTGGCTTTACACATTGCACACATGTGGGGAATCGAACCAAGGTCTTCGACGTGACGAGCGAACGTTTTATAACGACTAGGCTACCCCACCGCCTCCAAATAGGTATGAGTTGATACGTTTTCAAAATATGATTCATATGACACCATCCATAGACACCATTAACGATATGGCATTCGCTACAACGATAGCTTCAACAAAAGGAAGGAAAATTCGAGTCAGAGCATGTTTCCTCCTACTCTGTGATATACAAGGGCTACACCGGAAGTCGCCACTTTGCAAAGTAGAGTGGTTGGAGAGGGTAAGATCGAGACATTGTTGTCACGGGAGTCCATACGCGTGACAACATCAATGTATGACAGAGAGCTTCCTGCCTGGTTGTAAGGAGGAAGCTTAATTTAATCCACTTTTCTTGGAAAAGAAATATATGTAAAGAGAAACTAATGGATTGTAAACTTTATTCAGTTATTAGGTCTTTTAACACAATATGTACACACTGGTAAGTCGTGAAATATGAGGATTTCACATAGCTTCGGTATATGTATAAACATAAATACGAAATCGTGTATATCACATCTTACATGGCTTAAAATATTTTTAAAAAAAACACCCACAGTCGCTCTTTACTAGAAGTGGGAACCATTTACTCCTTACTTTCTGATAGATAGGTCAGTAAATGCATTTCGTATTGGTTTCATAAAAATCACTATTTATTTAAAATTCATATAATCACAAACATTTTTCAGTATTTTCACCAAATTATGTATTGATCTCAGTGTTTGGCAGACATCAGTCTCAAAATGGGCACTGAATTCTATGTGGAGTAATACGTTGTGTTTACTTTTTGGATATTTTCGTTCGTGTTTTAAGTCCTTCGTAGATATGTCTGTCCATGTTTACTGAAGGAGTTTCATAGAGATTCCCATCATTACTCTCTGAAATATTTCCATAGACTTTTGCACATTCGTTATCAGAAGGTATTTCATACACATTCTCCTCTGGGACCGTATCTGCTTCATCGTCATGACCTGCATCGACTTGAGTCACTGGGTCTTGAATAGCGTCATAATGTCTGTCGTCATCGCCCTCCGAAACAGCGGTGAAGTGTACCGCCTGGTCTGACGCGAGATCGTCTGCTGTGGATGGTACTTTGGCGCCAGATGTCTTAACGGATGTCTTCCTTGGACGTCGTCTAAACGATAAATAACGTATATCGATATAATCAGCATATTCTGAGTCAGATAATGCTACAGGTTGCAACAGATACTCAGTCTAAGAAGACGTAAGTGGGGTTGCTGAGTTGCGTCTCTTGGACAACAGAAGAGTTGTCGGTCCAGATTCTATATTAATAATCATTATATGATTATATGGTCGTTAGATCCATACCCGAGCTGGTGGACTTCCAGGCTTCATATTCCAGCTTGATTTGGTTGGTTTGTTGTTTAACGCCACAGCAATATTCCAGCTATATGGCGGCGGTCTGTAGATAATCGATTCTGGAGCAGACAGTCCAGTAATCAACATCATGAGCATCGATCTAAGCAACTAGGATACGGTGACATATTGTCAACCAAGTGAACGAGCCTGTGCGCCCTATCCTGCTAGTCGCCTCTTACGACAAGCATGGGTTGCTGAAGACCAATTCTAACCCGGATCTTCACGGGTCTGTCCCAATCTCACGTTGACGCGACATATTGTCACGAGACGTTAAACATAAAACAAACAGGAATCACTCACACTCTTTGCTATTTGGTACTTGATTGAAAATATAAGTGGTTGGTAAGCCTATGAAACACACATATGTGGTTTCAGCTTAAAGATGTTGTAACAGCTAGAAAATCACTCCTTTGTTGTATAGAAACTTTACCCTGTCGAAAGGCCTAATCGGCCATCCTTTTGGTCGTACCCCTTAACATGTTTATGAATGCAGACTTGATATCTGGCTAGAGTAATTAATGATGATGTGGCGTAAACCCCAACTCAACTCAACTCAACTGTAACAGCTGTTGAGGCAGTTATATACTGCGAGTCAGCTCATGTTGGTGGTAGGCAAAAAGACAGCTATACCAGATACAGCAGCTGATGTGAGTGGTAAGGCTCAGGATGCAGCTGTATACTGTGTGGGTGGTAAGGCTAAAGTGGCAGCTGTATACTGTGTCGGCTAATGTGACAGGCAAGCCTAAAGTGGCAGCTGTATACTGTGTCGGCTAATGTGACAGGCAAGCCTAAAGTGGCAGCTGTATACTGTGTCGGCTAATGTGACAGGTAAGCCTAAAGTGTCAGCTAATGTAGGTGGTAGACCTAAAGCAATATGGTGTGTCAGCTAATGTAGGGGGTAGACCTAAAGCTATATGGTGTGTCAGGTAATGTTGGTGGTAGACCTAAAGCTATATGGTGTGTCAGGTAATGTAGGTGGTAGACCTAAAGCTATATGGTGTGTCAGGTAATGTAGGTGGTAGACCTAAAGCTATATGGTGTGTCAGCTAATGTAGGTGGTAGACCTAAAGCTATATGGCGTGTCAGCTAATGTAGGTGGTAGACTTAAAGCTATATGGTGTGTCAGCAAATGTAGGTGGTAGACCTAAAGCTATATGGTGTGTCAGGTAATGTAGGTTGTAGACCTAAAGCTATATGGTGTGTCAGCTAATGTAGGTGGTAGACCTAAAGCTATATGGTGTGTCAGCTAATGTAGGTGGTGGCCTAAAGCTATATGGTGTGTCAGGTAATGTAGGTGGTAGACCTAAAGCTATATGGTGTGTCAGGTAATGTAGGTGGTAGACCTAAAGCTATATGGTGTGTCAGCTAATGTAGGTGGTAGACCTAAAGCTATATGGTGTGTCAGCTAATGTAGGTGGTAGACCTAAAGCTATATGGTGTGTCAGGTAATGTAGGTGGTAGACCTAAAGCTATATGGTGTGTCAGCTAATGTAGGTGGTAGACCTAAAGCTATATGGTGTGTCAGCTAATGTAGGTGGTAGACCTAAAGCTATAAGGTGTGTCAGGTAATGTAGGGGGTAGACCTAAAGCTATAAGGTGTGTCAGCTAATGTAGGTGGTAGACCTAAAGCTATATGGTGTGTCAGGTAATGTAGGGGGTAGACCTAAAGCTATATGGTGTGTCAGGTAATGTAGGGGTAGACCTAAAGCTATAAGGTGTGTCAGCTAATGTAGGGGGTAGACCTAAAGCTATATGGTGTGTCAGGTAATGATAGTGGTAAACCTAAAACGGCATTTACATAACATAAGTCTACATGCTTGTCAGTTATTAAGGAGGGTAGTCTAAAGAAACAGTGACATCACTGTGAGGTGATGTTTGTGGTAAGCCTAAAGTGGCAGTTATACCACGACCGGCTTACATATACAATCTCACCTTTTTAACACCAAGCACAGGACCAAAATGGTACATGATATGATTACGACTGGCGTCAAACTGTATATGAGCACGTATGTCCAAGTTGTTTTTTCTTCTTTGGTCACCTGCTCTCCATCTGACAACAGTATCAAAAGCAACTGTGTAAAGGAGAAGTGATCTATGGTGTTATTGTTGATACAATAGAATGTGAGCCTTATTCAGCTTAAATCTCACCACTGTTTTACCAGTATCTGCAACTCCTAAATATCCGGATGGAATTCGTCTTCAGTAACGCCTGCTTGTCGCAAGAGGCGATTAATGGGATCGGAAGGTCAGGCTCGCTGACTTGGTTCATGAATGTTGCGTTGACCCATGCTCATGCTTTTGATCACTGGATTGTCTATTCCTGACTCTATTATTTACAAAACGCTGCAATATAGCGAGAATATTGCTGAGCGGGGCGTTAAACAACAACCAAGGGAGTATCTGCATTGATACTCGTACTGTTTATAACACACAGTACTTGTGTCTTCCTGTCATTGATTCAGTGATTAACCTACCCGGTTTCAAATCGGTAGTGCTCCTATTGGTTGGCGTCTGAGTTGTTAGATCGGTACTGCTCCAAGAGGTTGGCGTCTGAGTTCCTACGGATTACAATAATACTAATATTTTTGTCCTCAAAATATCACAGCTCTTGTCCTTCAAACACCAAATGGACGTTAATGACATTCACTGTTTTCAGACTGTTAGAGTGTTGATTCTAAGGTTCAATTAAACTCTCAATAGAAAACATGTTTATCAACATGGTTAATAGAAATTTCCCGAAACACTGACACTGTAAGCGACATCCGGGTTAGAATTGGTCTTCAGCAACCCATGACTGTTGTAAGAGGCGACTAACGGGATGTCGTGTCATTGGTTCCCAATTGCGTAGAACGATGCTGATGTTGTTGATCACTGGCTTGTCTGGTCCAGACTCGATTATTTACAGATCAACGCCCTATAGCTGTAATATTGCTGAGTGCGGCGTAAAACAACACGTCAACAAACTGGAGAGGAGGAATTATGTTGACGTTTTACCTGTGGTTGATAGAGTGTCAGCCTTGGTGGATTCCGTCACGTTGGTTGCGGTTGTCGACGATGCCTTTGTTGCTATTTCATCTGCTTGTAGAAAATGCATTTGTTTAAACGCTAAATTACGGAAGCCTTTTGGGACCATTCGTGTTTTTAAATTTTGCATGATACTTCAAGAGATGCTAAGTTGAAATTTCGACAATATGTTGAAATTTCAAGATACGAAGTTGAAATTTCAAGATACATGTAAATTTCAAGACAATGATCTAGAAATTTCAAGATAAGAATTTAAAAATGTAAAATCATTATCAAGGGCCCAGAGCTGATGAGCCTAAGAAGGTTTACCCCAACCCTCTTTACTGCATTCATTTTATTTTAATCAGAAAATGATAAGTTTGGAACAGCTGACGCTTGGAAAAGAAATAGGCTGAGAGTCAGTCCGTTAACTTTTGGAGTGGTGTCTGATCATCTCCTTGACCCCCGTTGGGTCTTTAACCCCTAAAGTAGAAGCATGTATATTTTTCCGAGAATGTGTAATCTCAACTATATGTTACATTTGGTAACTCTCTAAAACGGCGAGGTGTATGCATAGCTTTGGCCATGGAAGAAGCGCCATATTGCACTTGTCACAGGGGTACACAAAGTACGTGATCTATACTACTAGTTGTCAGACTTCCATTTTTAGAACTACGTCGGCTGAGTGGGTTAGATTGCTGACTTTGTGTGCTAGTCCTACTTTGAAAGTAATCCAGGTTGGATCTCAGCCCCCAAAGACCCGAATCTGTACTTTACTGAGAAAGTGTAATCACAAATATAACATATGTGATATTAATCGGTGCCACATCAAAGGGCCACAGTGAGTGAGTGATTGAGTTAATATTTAGCGTCCCATCGGCAATATAACAGCCATATTGTGACGAGAACATCAATTTAATTTACATCAACATAAAAATCAAAAAGACTTACAGTACTTTTGCTACCTGCATAGACCCTAGCTGGGTCAGCGATTGTGCTGAGTTTTAGCCATTATTAAAAATAACAATTATTCAACGATTAAAAGTTTGGTAGAGCTAAATTGACTTTGAAGTTTTGGGACTTACGTACTCCAGAGGGCCACAGACCCAGGTTTTTCAACCGAATGCTGTCGGAAAGACCACTGCATCGACTTTATGTACAATGGACCAGGCTCCTACATTCTCAAACAACTGGATAATTTTATAACAATACACTAATGCAAATTACCTGATATCGCCATTTTAATGGTGCAACGACGTCCTGCCCAGCCAGTCCTGCATCTACATGTGCCATCAGCAACATTACAACGTCCCGAGCACCGGCTACTACAACGTATGCACATCCGTCCGTACACGTAAAAACCATCAGAGCATCCTGCCCACAAAGTAATGCATAAGCTTACACAAGTGTAAACAATACACTCCAGACATTTAGTACAACAATTGCATATACATGTAATGTATACAGTCAAACCCAACTGTGTCGAACTCGTCGAGACCAAGGGTGCAGTTCGACTTATCCGAATGTTCGACACATCCGCCAGCATAGAAATAATGATAAATATATAAGGAAATCGGTAGGGACCGAGAGACGAGTTCGACACAACCGAGAATTCGTCTCAACCGAGTTTGAGACATTTGGATTTGACTGTATGTACTGTGTCAGTTATAATAACCTGCCTTCCAACCGTTAACAGTAGCGCAGTAAGAAAAACAAAGCGTTGTATAAAATTAGTCAGACTTCAAGCAATACGAACAAGTATTATTTAATGCCGTCCCGTCATTTGGTAAAGCAATGCGTTGTATTACTTGCGTCAGTTATTACTAAATGAGGTCAATCATTAAGAACAAACATAAAAAATGATATAAATGTGTTGCTCCAGCATTATGTTTAACAAACCGTGGTGTCAGTTGTAATATCATCGGATTGCGTATCTGGACATCATACGTTTGAAGATACTATCACGCGCTATAACGAGATACTATCACCCGCTATAACGAGATACTATCACCCACTATAACGAAATACTACCACACGCTATAACGAGGTACTATCACACGCTATAACGAAATACTATCACACGCTATAACGAGGTGTGTCTGCACTACACAGCAATAATATACTGAGTCAAAAAAGAAACTTCACAAAATGTAATTTGAAAAATAATGAATAATTTTTCTCTGATGATACATCTATGTATCCGAAATGGGATCCCTATCTTTCGGCTCTAGAAAAACGTTAGCAAAACCCACTCAAACCCATCCATTCGTCGTGCAAATGACGTTAGTGCCAAATCAGGTTTTGCACGTGCAGTCGATCACGTGGTCTTCGCATCGAAGTTTTCTTCATGTGCACGTGTTTGCATTGGCTTCAAGAATTGAACGGTACTTGAAATGCCACGATTGTCAAATGTGCAACGTGAACGTGCCGTTGGCATGTTGCAAGCGGGAAGATCAGTTATTGACGTCGCAAGAGCAATTGGATGCAGCCGTCGTACCGTGTATGACTTGCGAGGTCGTCTACAACAAACTGGCACCACTTCTGATCGCCAAAGGTCGGGTCGTCCACGCGTGACGTCACGAGCAGAAGACCGTCAAATCGTCCTACGTCACCTACGTGACAGATTTCTGCCGGCTACACGAACCAGGGCTGAGATGTTTAGAGGTCGACTGTCCTCACAGACCATTCGAAATCGGTTGCGGGCTGCCAATCTCCATTCTCGACGTCCATATTGTGGGCCAGTATTGACGCCGTTTCATCAACGTCAACGTCTGCTGTGGGCCCAACGTCACCTCCGATGGACCCAGAGAGACTGGAATCGAGTCGTCTTTAGCGATGAATCCTGGTTAACCCTGAGATTCGCGGACGGCAGGCATAGAGTCTGGAGACGACGTCGTAAACGGTATGCCCAATGTTGTGTACAGGAAGTCGACAGATTTGGGGGCGGAAGTTGCATGATGTGGGGTGCTTTCTGTGGGAACAACCGTTCCCGACTTCTGGTCATCCGTGGAAACTTCACAGCTGCTGCTTACCGCGACCAGGTGCTCAACCCTGAACTCGTTCCTTTCATGGCGGCTCATGGCCCAGGTCTACAGTTCCAGCATGCTAATGCTCGGCCGCATACCGCGATGTTGACGCGAAATTTTCTTCAAAACGCTGGAATCAACGTCATGGACTGGCCATCGAGGTCCCCTGACCTTAATCCAATAGAGCACGTTTGGGATGCACTTGGGAGAAGGCTTCGTGGTCTTAGGAACCAACCTCAGAATTTGCAAGAACTTGGCGCTGCCTTGCAAGAGCAATGGTGCAGAACCCCCAACCACGTGTTCACAAGCATCAGGCAGTCGATGAAGGAGACGGTGTTTGGCAGCGGGGGATTCGCGGGGCGGCCATACACGATATTGAACTGAGAAATTTCGCATTTTTATTCTTGTGACTTGACATTCTGTATACCCATGTTTTAGAACGGCGGTGTAGCCTAATGGAACTGATGATGGCACTGTCAGTGTATCGAGTACATCACACAGATCTCAGCAATGAAATAATTACAATTTAACCATCTTACCATCTCTTGTTCTTTTATATTGCCCTGAAGAAAGAATATGAAGTTTCTCTTTTGACTCAGTATACAAACTCGGGAGATGGATTGTTTGCAAAGATGAAGGAGTCTTTTATAAGATTTGAAACCCCAACGTGACGACATACATAACGTATCAAGACGTAATGACACAGGGTATCTGTAATGCAAGAATATTTGTTACTGTAAGCCATGTCGACACCATAAACAGGTATAAAACAAGAGACTAATATGTGTTGAAATCGACATACTTGTTGTGCAACGATTTCCTATCCAGCCTGGATTACACCGGCATTCTCCGTCATCAGCATCACATCTACCCCTTTGACATCCAGACCCACACCGTATACATCTGTATCCCTGCACGTAGCCGTTAGTGCATCCTACAATATATATCAGTGTTAAATGATAGTCGACTCCTGCAAATAAGTGAACATCATAAAGTGATTTCGCAAATGCGCATTTTGTTGTTACAGATTTAGTTTGTTTCGTGTGTTTTTTAGGTTAACTCGGCAGTATTGCGGTGGTCTGTAAATAATCGAGTTTGGACCAGACAATCCGGTGATCAACAGCATGAGCTTCGATCTACTCAATTGGAATACGACGACATGTGTCAACCAAGTCAGTGAGCCTGACCACCCGGTCCCGTTAGTCGCCTCTTACGACAAGTATGATTTCATGAAGACCAATTCTAACCCGGATGTTCACGGGGATTCAGTAAAGGTATCCATCGAGGCCTCAATGAAAGAGCTGCTTCATCTCAGAACGAAACTTGCTCTTTTTGACAATGTATAGAGTTTCCTATATGTATAGTGTTGGTCTTTGAACAAGATGTTTGTAGAAGTAAAACCACTTTTTGTACAAAGAGGATATAGTTGCAAACTGAGGCATGAGGTAGGTTAAGATTTCCAGCCATTGGGCATTGCCTCATGTGTTCTTTAAAAAACATATTAACGTGGTAGAGTCACATCAAAAACAGCAGGCCCGAGTTAAACCGTTCTCCAATATGTCGACATATGGTTTCAAACACAGAATGTTCACTGTGAAAGCCTTCGAGGAATTTCTGCATAACCGTCACTCCGGCTGTTTCGAAATAACTCGAATTCCTTTCCCAGCGTACTTGAGGGGGGATATCATCAATGCAAGAATATTTGTTACTGTAAGTAATGTCGACATCATAAACAGGTATAAAACAAGAGAATAATATGTGTTGAAATCGACATACTTGTTGTGCAACGACTTCCTGCCCAGCCTGGATTACACCGGCATGTTCCGTCATCAGCATCACATCTACCCCCTTGACATCCAGACCCACACCGTATACAGCTGTATCCCTGCACGTAGCCGTTAGTGCATCCTACAATATATATCAACATTAAATTACTGTTGTATGATTGTCGACTCATGTGTTCCTTTAGAATCATTAACGCGTCAGAGTCATATCAGAATCAACGGGACCTCGTTAAACCGTTCTCTATTGCGTCGACATATTCTGACACTCCGGCTGTTTCGAAATAACTCGAATTCTTTTCCCAATATAATCCTAAGGAATTCGAGTTAACGATACATCTGTTTACTGTGTATAATTCATGCGGACATACGTGTTGTACAGCCACGTCCGGTCCACTGTGATTTACAGGTGCAGTGACCGTCGGAATTACACGTCCCATCTCTACAGCCAGCACCACATGACTTGCACTCATCTCCGTTACTATAGCGGCCTCTTCTGCATCCTTTTAAAATGACACGCATCATTTACAAAAGATTATTAATCACTGGATTGCTTTGGGGGTAAAAGGCATAATAGTCATGACATTTAAATTTATGTACATGTGTCACTTGAAATCAGCGGTAAGACCGGCTAAGTGTTGCGAATAAGATGTGAAAACTCAACATAGAGAACAAAACCATTGTGTAGCATCATGTTGAAAGGCGACGTGTCATTTTAGGTACATTTCCAAGAATGTTTTGAAAATGTCAGGAATGAGTTACCGAAGCATTTGATGGTGGGAAGCTTGTATTTCTCAGAATATCTTATTTAGTTCCAAACTTCTTTGAGTGACTTTTAGAAGTTGGTGTGATGAACAACGGGGAGAGATCTATGGATATACAACTTCTTGGTTACCAATATGAGTGACGTTTCGGTGAAGCTGCTAGCTTGATAACGGTGTTAGTAGCTACACCAAAACGCCACTCATATTCGTAATAAAGAAGTTGTATATCCATAGAACCCAACTCCGTCGTAGTCTCAAACTGACACAGTGATTAAAGCCAAGTTGGTATTGCAAGACAGTTGACCCGCGGCTCGATGCGTAACGTGATAATGTAAATTATACAAACAATCATAGTTTCAAATCGTTATTATTGGGTTGTATTACAAGGGTGTATGCACATTAAATGAAACACGGAGAACTACATGTAGTAGTGTTGGTTTAAGTTAACTCTCATCACGTATCGCACGTGCATTTGTTTCACTGTTCCAACTACTGCGCTTACCCCCTTGTAATACAAACCAATAATAGCGATTTGAATCTATGATCGATTGTTAAACAACTTTTATTCTATGATGAATACAATTCTGAGATTCAAATTTTCAATTGGCAAGGTAAAATTATGAGGATTCGCAATCTTAATTTCACTTTATTTGATTTACTTTCTTGTTTAAAGTGAAATTCATCGGTACGTTTTCACTGCAAACAGACTATAAGCCCTGTTTGGGCATCAAGAAATATGGTGATGATTTTACCCGGGACAACGCTGATCGAAATATCGGGGTTTCACTTTAGCCACAAAGTGAAGCACAGATTTCCAGGGTACTGTTGTACAAAGCAGTCTTACCTGTCATGCCTTAACATTAAACTTACGACAGTCGTCGCGCAACTTACCGCCTCATATTACAAAAATATTAAATACAAGAGAAAATTGAGTGAGTTTAGATTTACGCCGCTTTTAGCAATATTTCAGCAATATCACGGGGAAAGGGACCAGGAATAGGCTTCCCACATTGTACCCACGTGGGGAATCGAACCCGATTCTTCGGCGTCACGAGCGAGCGCTTTAACCGCAAGACTACCCCAAAGCCATTTGAGAAAAGAGGTAAATTGTGTTTGTAATGCCAACATATTTCCATTTAAGAAATGCCAGATGTATAAGTACCATATAACGACTTTATGTAAGTGGTCGTGCATTTAACCACGAGAGATAAACGGTACGTACTAACACCGTGTTATCTATAATACGTAAACTTCAGACATTTATTCATTGACAATGATATAGAATATATGATGCCAATGAACGAAGCAATAAATTGAAATCCATAAGTCATGACTCAATATCTGCTACATGTAACTTAAAACTAAGAAAAAATAAACAATAAATTGAAATATACTTACCGTATGCAGTCATACACTGTAACAAAAGAAAACATATGACAATAAGGTTGTACATTGTTCCTCCGTTGCGTTATGACAAATAATGACCCTCTGGAAAAAAGCGAAGTAGATCAAAATTGACAGCAACCATGTATGGTCATGGTATATATATCTATAAGCATGACGTGCAATACCAGAGGCAGGATATAATACATGTATGTATACGAATTTACTTCCCCATTTGTCCAGTAGGACATGAGGTCTAATAGTAACCCCACGTTAATGTCAACTGTGCCGTATGATATCAATGACAACATTCTGAGTGATGCTGTCCTATAGTATGTCGTATGTCAGCTGTGCCGTGTTATATCAATGACAACAATCTGAGTGATGCTGTCCTGTAGTATGTCGTATGTCAGCTGTGCCGTATTATATCAATGACAACATTCTGAGTGATGCTGTCCTATAGTATGTCGTATGTCAGCTGTGCCGTGTTATATCAATGACAACATTCTGAGTGATGCTGTCCTGTAGTATGTCGTATGTCAGCTGTGCCGTATTATATCAATGACAACATTCTGAGTGATGCTGTCCTCTAGTATGTCGTATGTCAGCTGTGCCGTGTTATATCAATGACAACATTCTGAGTGATGCTGTCCTGTAGTATGTCGTATGTCAGCTGTGCCGTATTATATCAATGACAACATTCTGAGTGATGCTGTCCTATAGTATGTCGTATGTCAGCTGTGCCGTATTATATCAATGACAACATTCTGAGTGATGCTGTCCTGTAGTATGTCGTATGTCAGCTGTGCCGTATTATATCAATGACAACATTCTGAGTGATGCTGTCCTCTAGTATGTCGTATGTCAGCTGTGCCGTGTTATATCAATGACAACATTCTGAGTGATGCTGTCCTGTGTATGTCGTATGTCAGCTGTGCCGTATTATATCAATGTCAACATTCTGAGTGATGCTGTCCTATAGTATGTCGTATGTCAGCTGTGCCGTATTATATCAATGACAACATTCTGAGTGATGCTGTCCTCTAGTATGTCGTATGTCAGCTGTGCCGTATTATATCAATGACAACATTCTGAGTGATGCTGTCCTATAGTATGTCGTATGTCAGCTGTGCCGTATTATATCAATGTCAACATTCTGAGTGATGCTGTCCTATAGTATGTCGTATGTCAGCTGTGCCGTATTATATCAATGACAACATTCTGAGTGATGCTGTCCTCTAGTATGTCGTATGTCAGCTGTGCCGTATCATATCAATGACAACATTCTGAGTGATGCTGTCCTGTAGTATGTCGTATGTCAGCTGTGTCGTATTATATCAATGACAACATTCTGAGTGATGTTGTCCTATAGTATGTCGTATGTCAGCTGTGCCGTATTATATCAATGACAACATTCTGAGTGATGTTGTCCTATAGGATGTCCTATGTCAACATTCTGAGTGATGTTATCCTATAGTTTGTCGTTAGTCAACATTTTGCGTGATACTGTCCTATAGTATGTCGTATGTCAACAGTCTGAGTGATGCTGTCCTAAAGTGCCTTATGTCAATATTCTGAGGGATACTGTAATATAATATGTCATATGTCAACATTCTGAGTGATAACTTCTTTGAGAGGCGTTTAGAAGTTGGGGTAGTAAGGAAGGATAACAATGTATGGATGAACAATTTCTTTATTAGTGTCCTACAGTAAGTCGTACGTCAACATTTTGAGTGATGTTGTCCTATAGTATGTCATATATCAACATTCTGAGTGATACTTTCTTATAGCATGTCATATGTCAACATTTTGAGTGATACTGTCCTATAGTATGTCATATGTCAACATTCTGAGTGATACTTACCGATAGTATGTCATATATCAACATTCTGCGTGATACTGTCCTATAGCATGTCGTATGTCAACATTCTGAGTGATGCTGTCCTAAAGTATGCCTTATGTCAATATTCTGAGGGATACTGTAATATAATATGTCATATGTCAACATTCTGAGTGATAACTTCTTTGAGAGGCATTTAGAAGTTGGGGTAGTAAGGAAGGATAACAATGTATGGATGAACAATTTCTTTATTAGTGTCCTACAGTAAGTCGTACGTCAACATTTTGAGTGATGTTGTCCTATAGTATGTCGTATGTCAACATTCTGAGTGATACTGTCCTATTGTATGTCATATATCAACATTCTGAGTGATACTTTCTTATAGCATGTCATATGTCAACATTTTGAGTGATACTGTCCTATAGTATGTCATATGTCAACATTCTGAGTGATACTTACAGATAGTATGTCATATATCAACATTCTGAGTGATACTCACCTATAGCATGTCATATGTCAACATTCTGAGTGATACTTTCCTATAGTATGTCATATGTCAACATTCTTTATGATACTCTCCCATAGTATGTCATATGTCAACATTCTGAGTGATACTGTCCTTATCAGATAGTATGATAGTGATATGTCATGTTTTATCTTTCTTATATACGTGTGTGTGTATCGTGTGTGTGTGTATGTGTATATATATGTGTGTGTGTATATGTGTGTATATATATATTTGTAGTTGTAGTAGTTTTTGTAGTAGTTGTTTTGCACAGTTGCATAGTTTAGACTCGATGATATACCGAATGCCGTCATATAGCTGGAATATTGAATTTGAGTGCAACACAGCAGCCAAACAAACATAGGATAGGATGTTCTAAGTTGTTTGTTTAACGGTAGCGAGGTAAAATACAGTAATTGGAAATGGACTGTAACATACACTTTACATATGTAACACGTGAGCACTACAATTGACAATTGGAACAAAGGTGAAATTCTTTACTAGGAAGTTGTTGAAGCGGCAGTAAAAGGTAAGTAATTAATCCAGCAACGTACAGTTAAGACTTTGAATCTTGACACGTCGTTAAATCAGATATCAAAGAATGCAACACACCCTGCTCCATGAACAATAGAAGCCAAGAATTACGCCAAGAATTGGTAGTCCTGTTAGATTGTCACGGCAATGGACAAAGGGGAATATATAGCCCTGGTGTGTGATAGATAGACATGGAAGCCAGCACAGTTAACTAAATTATCTGGGCAGGCACGTTCCCTGGTCACGGTGGATTACTGGTTGTGACCTGATGTCTATGGCCTCTTGTAGCTTGACGTTCCTTTGACGTCAGTTGTTGGTGGTGGAGAGGACTGTAGCTTCTTCCGGCATGGTGGCGTTGTCTTCTTGCTGATGTGTTCGGAAAGGGCAGATTTCAGGTCGAGTTTGTTGACGGACGTTTGATGTTCTTTGAGTGTGGGGTTGAATGGTCTGGGCATTTGGCCGATGTATGTGTCGCCACAATTGCAGGGGATCTGGTTTGGCGTTTCCAACGGATTCGTAAACAGAATGTCGTCGCATTGTCGGTACCCGCTGTGCAGGTTGCTTTTGGAAACTGTGTCACCGACGATGGCTTCTGACATGGTTGTGTCGTTACCAACGACGCCGTGTGATATTCCTGTGGACGTTCATGCCTGGTGTAACGCTTACGGCAACAGATTCAAGCACCCCTGTTGCTTGACAAATATTTTCGCTGAGGCGGTTGGTGGTGAAATCTTATCAAAAGGAAGCAAATGCAGTTTCGGAGTGGCAATGATATGAGATTGGTTAATTGACGACAAAAGCCATTTCCCTTATCATAAAAAGTCTTTGCTTAAAGCAGGTCTACTGATGACTGCGATTATATTAAGCAGGTGTTTAGTTTGTACGTGATCGCGAAAGGGTAAGCCTATCCTGTCCGACGGGCGACACTGATCACAGGTACACGAAAAGCAAGTCAATTATTAAAAAAAGCAAAAAACATACAGAACAAAGTTGTTAAATGCATCAAACATTTTTTGTCAGTGATGTTCAGTGTTTGCTACGTCTTCCACAAGTCTACTGCAACACATTTGTGAAAGCTCTTATGTGTTAATGCTTTTGATGTTGTTAAAAAAAGCAAGAGTGGAAGGACACAACCTTGAAATCTTATTATGAAGAACGTGATCGGTCAAAACTAAAACATTCAGGACTATAAAGACCAAAGATGTCAGTGAGTGATTTGTGTTTTACGCCGCTTTTAGCAAATTGAATATTAAAGCAATATGACTTCGGTCGACAACAGAAATGGGCTTCACATATTATACCCATGTGAAGAATTCGGCGTGACGAGCGTATGTTTTAACCACTAGGCTACCCAACAGACTCCACAACACCAAAGTTTGGTGATCCTGGCATTTTGCTCGGGACAAAAAGAACGAAGGCTACTGAAATAGTCATACAGTACTTTGATCCTTTTTCACTATTCACGAATAAAACGCCCAAAACTAATAAATTGTATTTTTTCTGATTTGAAGGCACCGCATCTAAATGCGAAGTCTAATTACAAACCAAGTCAGGCGGTTTCACTCGTCTGTTTATGGTTTAGTCAGTGGAAGGGATCTGACTTCTTTTGAACTATATCATTTCAGTGATGTAACTGAACCTTGAGGCAAACGTTATTGAGCTAACGTCTTTGCCATCCCCAGCAAAAATATCGATTCGTTTGCAAAAAGAAACAAAAGGGGTAGCCTAGCAGTTAAGCGTTCGCTCGTCACGCCGACACGATTCCTCACATTAGTACAATGTGTGAATGTGTGAAGCCCATTCCTGCTAGTCATAACTTGAGAGTTGACAATTGAATAGTTGAAGTCAACCCTCTTGTGTTTCAATCTTACGGGGACGGTGGGGTAGCTTAGTGATTTAAACATTCGCTCGTCACGCCGAAGACCCGGGTTCGATCCCCCACATGGGTACAATATGTGAAACCCATTCCTGTATGGGTAAAACCTCCCTCCCTCACTCACTCACTCACTTGCCCATGGAGATGCCACCCTCTTGCCAGAATGTCCATATATCAACTTCACACAGATGTTGTCTAAATGAAAGTCCATCTTAAAGAAAACCTTTTAATCATTTTCTCCGAACTATTACCTTTAAACAATGTAATGATAAAAACTCTGATTTTTTATTTCTCGGGTCCAAATCCAAACTTCATACAGGTTTGAAAGTAAAAAATAAAACTCACATCACAGTATCTTTGAAGTTTGGGCAACACCTGTGACAAAGTGTACGTGAGTATATTAACCAAAGACAAAAGAAGGCTCCAGGGGGAGTCGAACCCTCGACCTTCTGCTTACTAGGCAGACGCTCTAACCAACTGAGCTATAGAGCCACCACACACACTGACCGACTTCAACTCTCGTGCTGTCTACGATTTCTATATCGTAAACATCTGTGGCCATGAAGTCTCGTCCGCCGGCGAGATTCGGGAATGTTCGCATATACCGATATGTGTAGTATTGACCAGTCACAGATGGTCTTTGCCAGCACGGATAATATATTTCACTGGGGGACAGACATCAATTAATCAATAAGGTAATCAGTTAATATATATCATATTGACTGAATATATATATGCTAGAAGCGTCACCATTATGGGGTGAGGTGGTGGTGGGGTGTGTGTGTGCGTGTGTGTGTTGGGTGTGTGTGTGTGTGTGTGTGATGAGTGAGTGAATAAACTATTTTTAAAAGGCACTTTAACTTTATTTCAGGTATTTTATGGCGCTTCAGCTAAATGTTGGAAGGAAACCTCGTGCAGTCGTGATCCGGGCTCGATCAACGGTAAATAACGGGATTCGATAATGTCATGGTCTTTCTCCAAACAATTATACTGTACTATATAGTCGGTGCTGTACTGATCAAAACGCAATGTATCTGGGATCCAAACCAAGGATCCATGGTCCATTTCAGGAAGACAACGCATTGGTCCCGTGTTTCTTGATCCGTGAAGATGCTGGTTAGAACTGGCCTGGTCCTTGGAGGCGACTAACGGGATCGGGTGGTAGTCTCGCTGTCTTGTTTGATGCATGTCGGATCCCGATTGATCGATCAGTGTTCATGTTGTCAATGACTTGATTGTCTGGCCTAGAGATTGTACAGATCCCCTTCATATAGCTTGGATATTGCTGAGTGCGGCGTTAAGTCAATTCAGAAATTCAGGGGGACTGTTCATACTCAACTCACCCATGAAACCTTTCATTACACGATGCATTTCTTTAAAAAATATGTTCTTAGGTTGATGTTACAGTTTCTCGACTCTTTATATCGTCTAATTTGGGTTTGAGTAATTATTTGATGCTGGTCTTGGTGGCTGCCAAAATTCGTCTCGTTTATCCACCTTCATGGTTATGGTGAGATCTTTGAACAAAGGATTTGACTGAAGGATGGCGCCATACGTTATACAAACAACATGTTATTGAGGTTAATCTCTACCTCTAACTCAGGAGACTTCGACACACCCAAATAAAATAGACTAATTGGGAATATGGCCTCGCTACTAGTAGGTTTATAGATTTGCCCACAAATATAGAAATCAGCAAGTAGAAATCAAAACAGTTTTGGGATCTCAATATAAAACTGATCGGGAAATCTTTGTTGCTTCGATTCCAATTATACATACTTTCAAAAATTGCTAATTGACACCGTAGGACGAATTCTACTCCTGTCAGCGAGTAAGTATGATTTTACACCGTTCTTACTTATTCGAGGAACACTAGAAATTGGGTTTACACTTTGTAGCCATTCGGGAAAACGTCGGCCTTGCCCACTATAGGCAGCCACATCGCACCACTACGTTTGTGAGGAGCATTGCAGCTGTTTCCCGAGGAGAAGGGTCTGGGTACAAGGGTGTGCCAACTGTGGTAATACAACGCCTTTTGTTCTAAAGCGTCAGTGGGGCGGTGGAGTAGCCTAGTGGTTAAAGCGTCCTCTCTTCACGTCGATGACCCGGGTTCGATTCCCTGCAGGTACAATGTGTGAAGCCCACTTCCCTCGCCGTGATGTTGCTAGAATATTGCTAAAAGCGGCGAAAAACCATACTCACTCACTCACTCACTAAAGAGTCAGTGATCGACTAACACCCGCAAATAAGAGTGAGTGAGTGAGTTTGGTTTTACGCCGCACTCAACAATATTCCAGCTATATGACGGTGGTCTGTAAAAAATGGAGTCTGGACCAGACAATCCATTGATCAACAACATGAGCATCGACCTACGCAACTGGGATACGATGACATGTGTCAACCAAGTCAGCGAGCCTGACCACCCGATCCCGTTAGTCGCCTCTTACGACAAACATGGGATCTTTTGATCTTCACGGTTGTGCAAATAAGAAATACGCATGGGCATATAATTAGGCCGCACTTCTGATAGGAACTCTTATACCTGGGAATTAGTACAGAGATAATGAAAGATAGTTTTCCGCCTCGGCCTTTAATGAGAGACAATTTGGATAAAATTGTCAATTGTTCGATCAGCTACCTGTAGGACTCTGTATGGATGAATGTTTGTCACGTGTTTGATCGGCTTTGACCGGTTGGGATTACTTCCTCTTGGTTCATCATCATCCCTGTACGCCTCTGTATATATGAAAGTTTGTCACTTGTTTGATCAGCCCCCTGAAAGCCTCTGAGTGGATGAAAGTTTGTCACTTGTTTGATCATCTCCCTAAAGCTATCTGTATGGATGAATGTTTGTCACTTGTTTGATCATCTCCCTAAAGCTATCTGTATGGATGAATGTTTGTCACTTGTTTGATCGGCTTTGACAGGTTGGGATTACTTCCTCTTGGTTCATCATCATCCCTGTACGCCTCTGTATATATGAAAGTTTGACACTTGTTTGATCAGCCCCCTGAAAGCCTCTGAGTGGATGAAAGTTTGTCACTTGTTTGATCATCTCCCTAAAGCTATCTGTATGGATGAAAGTTTGTCACTTGTTTGATCATCTCCCTGTAGCCATCTGTATGGATGAAAGTTTGTCATTTGTTTGATCAGTTCCCTCTAGGCATCTGTATGGATGAAAGTTTGTCACTTGTTTGATCATCTCCCTGTAGCCATCTGTATGGATGAAAGTTTGTCATTTGTTTGATCAGTTCCCTCTAGGCATCTGTATGGATGAATGTTTGTGCCTTGTCTGATCAGCTCCCTGTTGGACTCTGTATGGATGAATGTTTGTCACGTGTTTGATCAGCTCCCTGAAGGCGTCTGTATGGATGAATGTTTGTCACGTGTTTGATCAGCTCCCCGTAGGCTTCTGTTTGGATGAATGTTTGTCACGTGTTTGATCAGCTCCCTGTAGGCTTCTGTTTGGATGAATGTTTGTCACGTGTCTGATCAGCTCCCTGAAGGCCTCTGTATGGATAAATGTTTGTCACGTGTTTGATCAGCTCCCTGAAGGCCTCTGTATGGATAAATGTTTTTCACGTGTCTGATCAGCTCCCCGAAGGCCTCTGTATGGATGAATGTTTGTCACGTGTTTGATCAGCTCCCTGTAGGCTTCTGTTTGGATGAATGTTTATCACGTGTTTGATCAGCTCCCTGAAGGCCTCTGTATGGATAAATGTTTTTCACGTGTCTGATCAGCTCCTTGAAGGCCTCTGTATGGATGAATGTTTGTCACATGTTGGATCAGCTCCCTGAAGGCCTCTGCATGGATGAATGTTTGTCACCTGTGTGATCAGCTCCCTGAAGGCATCTGTATGGATGAATGTTTGTCACGTGTTGGATCAGCTCCCTGAAGGCTTCTGTTTGAATGAATGTTTGTCACTTGTTTGATCAGCTCCCTGTAGGCCTCTGTATGGATGAATGTTTGTCACTTGTTTGATCAGCTCCCTGAAGGCCTCTGTATGGATGAATGTTTGTCACTTGTTTGATCAGCTCCCTGAAGGCTTCTGGTTGGATGGATATTTGTCACTTGTTTGATCAGCTTTGACCTGTTGGGATTACTTCCTCTTGGTTCATCATTTCATGTTAAGGAGTGTAAATGTATTCACCGAATAAATAGAATAATGTACAAACTCAGTGAGAGGACAGAATGAAGACTTACTGCTGTCCACAACCAATCAGGAGCATGTAAACAGAAAGGACGCAGAGAAGCCATTAACATCGACTCAGATTCCACAGTACGTGGTATGTTAGGAAGCAGTTTAGTTTATACTTCCCCTTTGTATAACATACGACCTGTGTGTCCAAGCATGCGTGTAGGTGTGTGTGATTGTTGGGCTGTGATTGCGTTGATGTGTGTGCTCGTTCGCCTCTGTGTGTGTGCGTGCGTGTGTGCGTCTATGTCGCCGTGTTATAAAGAATGTTAGTGTGTATAAAATAAACTTATAGAAACCTGCGTGTGTGTGCATGCGTGCATGCGTGCGCGTGTGTGTTTGTTTAAACACTATACAGCAATCTAACCCGCGATCTAATGGCATTGAGACAAATGGTTACCAACAGATCTCCACTTAATGGATTCTTCATTCAACAGCCGCATGTAAAACAACAATACACCTTGATAAATCGATCGGAGTTTTGCTGTCATAATATGGCCTTGAATAATCTCCCGCTGGCCAGTCCAGCAGCTGAACATAGACACCGCTGTGTCCTCTTGGTTATGCCACCGCTGGCTGATATGCGCCATCAATGATCTATACTCATTAGCAACTTGGACCAATCAGAGCCCTTCTTGCAAAGATGCCACGGAGCACGTTCGGTTGCTAGGGAATATTTTGACGCGAATTAGATGATGAAGTATAGGTAGAGAGGCGTGAGCGACAGCTGGTGGGTCATTGCGCGTCCATTTCATCAAAATACTATTATCTCTCTCTTTCTACAACTCGCATAACAGCGTCGTGACCAATCAACCCCGCTATGACGTCATGTAAGAGAGAGTTTTAGGGCGAGGTTTTTATAGTTTTGCCCAGCAAAGATAAACAGCGCAGTGGTAGATTGTGTTTGTACTCCGCTGTTTTCATGTTATTTTCGTGTTTTGAGGAACAATTCATCAACAGCAGGATGTGAGCTGCAGTCGTCCCTTCACGATGTAGGAATGAGGTAGGTGACAGTGATGCTCGTTGAATTAACAACTTCTACACATTCCAAGCGAAATGAATTTGATGGCCAGTTACACCTAAATGTGACGTACGTATTATACTGATATGTCAACAATTTCTACTACTGTGAGTGTGGGGTCGAGTGCTGTTTCAGCTCTGTAACGCCAGTTTAGAAATATTTCCCATTTTTTATTCTTACATCGTTTTCGTTTACGATTTTACCAATGTCTCCTTCTTTAAATAAACGTGCGTGCGTGCGTGCATGCATGTGTGTAGGTTCGTGTTTGTATGTGTTTGTGTGCGTGTGTCTGTGTATGTGTGTGCGTGCGTGTGCGTCTCTGCGTGTTTGTACCCTAGACTGAGCTTGGGCAGTTTTGTGTCCAGCCACAGTGAAATCATGTCGCATTTCAGCATGAATAATCTTCGTTTTACCCCCTTAATACCGAGCGCAATTTGTTAACGTACCATTTCGTAACGACCTTTGGTGAGCGCCATATCGTAACGTCCTTTGGTGAACACCAATTCTTAATGTACCATTTCGTAACGTCCTTTGGTGAGCGCCATTTCGTAACGTACCATTTCGTAACGTCCTTTGGTATGACGAGGTGTTGCATGGAACCACCGACCTTCCACCCTAAAGAGGAAGGTCGGTGGTTCGGTCTAAAGAGCGCTTTCATCTGCGACGTACTTCAGCGTACACCTAAGAAAAAAGTGGCTAGATTCAACTCCTGTATGAGGTCCGTCTCACAGAGCGCTCGTAGAGCTAGGGCCATCATGACGCCCATACTTTAAGGTAGACTTACGGTCGTAGGGGTGCGATTGCTTTGGGAAGCACGACCTTGGTGTGGCCTTGTAGGGTGTGACGTTAGAAGATGACGCCTGACCGTTAAACTCTGGTGTCATTATTGAAAGAGTGTCCGACTGATGAGGAATTGTCTGTATCCTAGTTTCACAAACATCCTTGATCTGTCAGAATGGCTCTTCCCTGTACGTGTCAGCCACACGCGACTATGACCAGCATTACTTTTGACACAGGTTTCGACAGTCGACTTTGGCACAGACTTACGATCGTCGACTTTGGCACAGACTTACGATCGTCGACTTTGACACAGACTTATGACAGTCGACTTTGGCACAGATTTCGACAATAGACTTTGGACAGGCTTCGACAGTTGACTTTGACTCAGACGTCCACAATCGACTTTGACTCAAACTTACGATCGTCGACTTTACCACAGACTTCGACAATCGACTTTGACACAGACTTCGACAGTCGACTTTGACACAGAGTTCGACAGTCGACTTTGAAACAGACTACGACACTACGGACAGTCGACTTTGACACCGACTTCGACAGTCGACTTTGACACAGACCTATGACAGTTCTAGTTTTACGATCGCAAATTTGTAGAAAAGATCCTAAATCCTACTCACAAGTACATATAAATAGTTTGACTAGTCATAATTCGTACAAACACACTAACGATATAGTTTGTCATCGCTCCGATATCTCTCGCTCTACATTCCTGATCATCTGCCGGGTATAATGTCCATATGTGGTCAAATGGACATGGACCTGTAAGCAGCTAATTACCTAGTATTGATCTGGAGCCGATTCCTCCACCCATGTATATGTAACTTCATTCTTCTAATCTGTTCTTCGTACATTTGTCCATGTCGGATTGATTGGGATGAACATGTCGTGGTGTATGTCAATACACTTAACGTGTCTTTGGTTCATTAATCGAGCAACACCATAATACTGCATGGAATGTATGCGGTACACTCAACGAGTACTGAACTGACTGAAATAATCCTTTATCAATCAATGTTTAGAGGTTTGTGGAAAGGATTATGTCTCTTTCATGTAACAGAACTGGTTTCGGGCGCATTGGACTTGGAAAAGGGACATTGAAGAGGACAAATTCATTTCATATTGATCTGAGCATCCCTGTAATGCCTCACTTAACGCTGTATGTCTGTAAGTAATCGAATCTGGACAGGATAATCCGGTGATTGATAGTATATGCATCTCCTGGTGCACGATGTCATGCAATCGACAAGACTGTGAGCCTCACCAATAGAGGACGAGCAGCTGCCTGACAGTCTGGCCCAGACACGATTATTTACAGACCACCGCCATATAGCTGGGATATTGCTAGAGCGTGGCTTAAAAGTTAACTCACTTACTCACTACCTACTCCATTGATTATGTTCGTTGTATTCCTGCTACAAGGTGTTTCCTTTAGTGATTTTTAGTGACTCATGTCCACATAGGGTTGTCAGACAGACAGACAGTTTAATTCAGTGAAAGGCCACTGACCCATAATACAGTTAAATGCATAATCACATATCACATAAATGGTACACATGAATTTATAAAAATGTTCTGATCTTAATTCTAATTTGTACATGATATAAAAATAAACTAACATTCTTAATCACATCAACATTGCCACATCGCATTGTATTTATAAAGTTGTTTATCGTAGGAGGTTGACTAAAATATTTCACAATATATTTATCTGGAACATCAGAAAGACATTCACAAATATACAAAATATGCCACTCAACAACATTAATACCTTTTGATTTACAAAATAAACAAAATGTTTCATTAGGAGCAGTTTTTTCATATCTCCCAGTCTCTATTGCTAGATTAAAATGTCCACATCTGAATTTTGAAAGGACAGATTTCAAATTTAAACAAATATTACAATTTAAGTATTTTTCTACATCTAATACGGTTTTATAGTGACAATAATAAATAGTTTTATGTGAATTTTCAATGGAAGTATACCAGGAAAAATAAATGAGCTTAAAAATATCTTTGTTTAAAAAGAAACATTAAATAATTAATTACCAATATCCTGACTGGCCCATGCATAGCCAAAACCATAAGCAAATAAAATATGTTTAACTTTAGTTGCCCAAGGTACACGTCCAACATCATCTAATGATTTCAGCATGTTTGTGTTTTGGGAGTCTATTCGGGGGTAAGTACAATAAATGACACCAATATTTGATAACCTTAGTCATATATACAACTTGTAAAGGGAGTCTACCACATTCTCCAAGTACCACATTAGATTTACCGACTTTAAAAATAATCTTACAAAATTTAATTTGCACAGACTCCAGTTTACAATAACTGGTGCCCCAAACGTCAGTTCCATAACATAATGTAGGTTAGATCATACAATTAAATATTTTAAACAAATCTTTACAATTGGCATTAACCATTTTAAAAAAAGTTATTTACAGAAAATAATGCCGTATCGGCCCGCGATGTCTGGGCTCTACTCCATACAAGTTTTGGTGTAAATACAAGTCCTAAATATTTATAAAAACATACAGATTCAATTTGTTTACCTATATAATACTATTTTTTATTAATCCCTTCGAGGCCCGCCATTTCTAAAACCAAGCATCATAGTCTTTATAAGATTAACTGACATAACAGTGAATTTACAAAATTTCTTAAGAACATTAATATTTTTCTGTAATTGGTTACATATATCAGACAGTGCTGAAACATCATAGCAAACATAAGTGACCATACATTATTATAGGATTGTCGACGCCATGAGTACGCTAAAAGCAGACTGCCACCTTCTCACATCTGCACCACACCGTCCACACCCGACTCTAACTGTGAAAATCAATGTATTGTTCAGTACCTTTGTCATTAGCTTGTGTGTTGTTTCCGAGTCAGTGATGTAAACAGTCTGCCTGATTAGCCCTCTGACCGGCGGTCAATCTAGGGTTGGATGTCCTTGTTTATTGGTCAGCAGGTGTATGAGCCAGCAGTGTTGAGCAGATGGTCGACCAGACACACAACATACATGATTACATATTAGGATTCTTTGTTGTATGAGGACAATTGGAGGACAAAGCAGCATACTTAGCAAGTTTTTATTGTTCAAATGATGACTTTATATGTATACAACTGGTTAATGCTGTTCATGGTACATGGTAACATGAATAGGTTTCACACAACTGCAAAGTCTTGGCCTCGTTTCACAAAGCGATCTTAACGCTACAACTATTGTAGGTTTAGGCATGGAGGAGAAGGAGCATATCGTCCTTATGCAAAGTTCGCTTTGGGGAACATTTTCCCTTCTTCATTATCTGTGAAGTCTGTGTATTGCGGCGTAAAATGTGTTTAAAGTGGAACACTTTTTATGGATAGACAACTTCTTTGTTGCAGTAGTACTTACGACGTTTCGGTGTAGATCCTAACACCGTTATCAAGCAAAGGACGGTGTTAGGATCTACACCGAAACGTCGCAACTACTACTGCAACAAAGAAGTTGTCTATCCATAAAAAGTGTTCCACTTCATCATACCAGCTTCTAGATGCCACTTAAGGAAGTTAAAATGTGTTTGTTCAAGAACATTTGTGATAGCTGCCACTGTAGGTCAGGATTCGCTTTCCTGTATGCCAATACTTGTGATCATCATTTGATAGGGATTTATAAACAGGTGCTTGTGATATAGGCTACCATACAAGTGACAATATTTCATATATTTATGGAAAGGGCTTAAGTTTATATACACTTCCGAGCGCGTATATTCTGAGGTATAATTTTGACCTTGTAATAATCGACAGTTATCGTTACAAGTACTACTTATGTAACGTCTGTCGATATTCTTTGTAAAATATGGGGCGGTGAGGTAGCCTAGTGGTTAAAGCGTTGGCGCGTCACGCCGAAGACCCGGGTTCAAATCCCATTTCTGGTGTCCCCCGCCGTGATGTTGCTGGAACATTGTTCAAAGCGACGTAGAACCCAACTCACTCACTCACTCTCTCTGTTCACATGTTATTTGTTCCGAAGGTAAGATCACAAGCGTCAATGTCTGTTGGGTAGCCTAGAGGTCACCAACTCACTCACTCGCTCACTTTGTAAAATATACTTGTATTGTTTTATTCAGGTGTCTGTGAGTAACCGCTTGTCATTGTTGATATTTGTTATATATCGTTCTTAACTCAGGCACTGA